TCCCTGCATAACGCGTACACGACTGTTCCCGCCAACAGCACCCAACAGTGAAACGTTACCCGCTCGCGACACTCGCCTCGACCACTGTTCCCGCCACTGTACACCTCGCGACCCAACCTCACAATCCGGTTGGTAACCTGTGCTCCGGCCCTCCGCGTCGACATTTCCCAACCTCGGCGCTAGACCCGTCGCGCACCACATTCTCGCGCATGACAGTTACCGTCATCGCCCGGATACAAGACAGTGTCGAGTTGAAGACAGGGGGTGTCTTTAAAACGGGTGTATCTTATAAATGGGTGATCCTGATTATAAGACACATGTGGGTGTGTACAAGTTAAGCCAGTATAGGGGTTAGGGGCAATCTTACGACAAGGGGGTATCTTCTAAACGATTCTTTCTCCATTTATAAGAATTATAAGACACCCTAAACCACACCAATTACAAGACAACCCAAACAGTCTAGGCCGCCTGGCTGGTGAAGCCATGGCGAAAACAGCGGGACCCACTTCCTCTTCAAGAAAAAAACACATCGCCCGTGGCAACTTACCGACGACGGCTGGTATACCCGTGAGCCACCAGCGCCTCCAGTGCCACCTGAACCCCCTGCACCCCCTGCTCCTCCTGCTCCTCATGCACCTCCAGCTCCTCCTGCTCCTCCCGCTCCTCCCGCTCCTCCGAATCCGCCTGATACCGGTACGAGTAGTGCTCACCAACGGCCCGTGCTCCAGCTGTATTTAACAGCCACTTTCGACGAGTGGTTGTCTGAACCGGACACACCCAAGGCCCCCGATGTGTTCATCCATGTTCCGCCGCCTGCACCACGCTGGGGACAGCCTGAAGCCTGCACGTGGGATGAGTCGGCTGTGGGCGCCGACGACGACGTGGCCGCCGATAAACATAACAGCGGCGATGGCGACGGTGGAGGCGACGGTGAAATGGGTGCCGAGGAGGATGTGTTCCCAGAGCGTGGTGCAACTGCCGCGGACGACGACGGTGTGGAGTCTTGGTGGCGTGACGCACCACGGGAGAAGATGCCGATACTGACGTATCCGCCGATTAGCAAAAAAACGACCCCACCCCTCCTCTGAGAACCGAGATGCCCGCCCCCCCTCTCCTAGGCACAAGCCGTCTCAACATAAACGGCAGTCCTACACCGCCCAGGAGAAACTCGGGTGGCTCGTGCGGCTGGAGCTTGCGACATCGGTAAGCGAGGTTGCGCGGGAGTCCGGCATACACTGCAAATGCCTGACGGAGTGGAAAACCCAAGCGGAGCAGCTCAAGGCTTCACACGCCGCACGGTGTCGACTTGATGGGCGCGGGAGGTCGTCTTGGTACAGACCCATGGAGTTTAAGGTGTACGCTCAACTCCTTGACTGGCGACGCCGCGGTGTTGCAGTTTCAATCGGCCGGCTGCAAGAGTGATCATGCGAGGTGATGAAGGTGCTGATCCCGGAAGTCAAGTGGAAAGGGAGTCAGCGGTGGTCGGAGCGGTTCCGCAAGCGGTGGAACCTCAGCGGGCGCATGAAAACTAAGGTGGCGCAAAAAACACAGCAGCGTAAGTGCCTCGTTTCCCGTTTACTTCGAGCAAATTTGCATGGTTTCTAAGTTTGGTTGCTCCCGTGTGCATATCTTTATCATGTAGCGCCTTCCTATCTGTCCTTCCCTCCCCGTGCGCAGACGTGGCGAAGCAGTGCACAGAATCAATCGAAACGAGTACGACATCGACAATCGATATATAATCAACGCCGACCAGACGCCTCTTTGGTTGGAGATGCCGGCGACTATCACCGTGGGGGAGACGGGCGTGAAGTCGGTGCCCATCCGCAGCGGTGGTTACCAGAAAGAAAGAGTCACAGTGATGCTGGCGTGCACGGCGACGGGCGAGAAGTTGAAGCCGTGGGTGTTTTTCAAGCGCAAGACAGTGCCAAAGGGTGACTTCCCGAACGGTAAGCACATGTTCTTGTGCGTGTCTTGGTCGTTAATAACAAAAAAGGAACTAACCATCGCTTGCTTGTGTGCAGATGTCGTGGTCGACTGCCAAGAGAACGGGTGGATGGACGCCACGAATGTCATCCAGTGGCTCGATGAGGGCGTGGTGCCGTTCCTGAAACCGAAATTCGGAGTGAAGAGTCGGAGTGCCATGCTAGTACTCGACTCCTACCGTGGTCACCTGACCAAGGAAGTCAAGGCGAGATTCGCGGCGCTCAACATCGTGTCGGCGGTCATCCCGGGGGGATGCACGGCAGAGGTGCAGCCGCTGGATGTGTCGATGAAGAAGAGCTTCAAAGCGAATGTTCGCCAGCAGTACCAGTCCTGGTTTGAGCAGGACGGCATGAACACTCTGACACCTGCAGGTGAGCGACGACATGTCCTCCCGTCTCCCCTTCGTGTGCTTGTCTGCCTGCTTGTGGACTAATTTGTTCCCCACTCCCTTTCAAGTGGTGCAGGGAACATCAAGAAACCACCTCCGGCGGTGGTGCTCAAGTGGATTTCACGGGCGTGGAAGGCTGTGCCCGCCGACCTGGTTAAGAAAGCCTTCCTCACGTGCGGCATCAGCAATGCCCTTGACAGGAGCGAAGACCATCTGGCGATGGCGCACCGGAGAAGCCAGCTGACCCACGAGGTAGAGGTCGACGACGACATCCAAGCAGACGGGTTCTGGGGCAACAACTCCACGGAGCCCGAATCGGACGAGGAGGAAGAGCAGGCCTAAGGCTAGACTAGGCATGATGATGGTGTTTAGGCTAGGACAATAGTCACCCAATTGTATGTGAATGTTTTACTTAATGGAAAATCAAAGCTAATGTAGGCTAGCCTTGATGGAGCTCTAATAAAATGACAATAACTAAACAAGTATTAAATTCTTGTTTATACAGCAAGGGTGCAGGGCCTGTGCAAGGATTTAGGGCATCCTGTGGCCTCAGGGTAACTCTTGAAAATGTAAAAAAAATGCCCTGATTTTTCAGAACAAAACTATATGGCCATCATGAAGTTTCAGGGTAGCTATAGGCATCCTTATCCTTATCCCAAAAACAATGCAAGACGCTGATTAGTAATGCAGCGTGCCAGCGAGAACATCGCAACTCAGGGTGCATGCAATATGTGCAGCATGGCAAATGATCGTTCGTGCCAAGGCAGGACCAGATTCTGGAGGGAAACGAACACAGGCCCTCCCGTCTCCCCCCCACCCCCCTCCTGTCATATTGTATTTGTTCTCTGTAGGCTGTAGTGGGGCATACCCTAAAAGGTACAACACTTTAGGGTTAGGGAGTACTTGTACTCATGCTTCCTACCTAGTCAATCATTCCTACGTTCCTACTTCTGACATGGTATTCAGAGAGGGTCCGTCCGTAGGGCCGCTCCGTTAGGGCCCACCGCTAGTTTTTTCCCTGCCCGAACTGCCCGTACTGCCCTGCCCTGCTTGCACTGCCCTGCACGCTCTGCCCTGCCCGTCGCGCTGCCCGCTTGCTGCCTAGCGCGCGACCCTCACGCTGCCCTGCTCGCGGCCTGCTCTCGCTGACTGCATGCACGCTCCCTGAGGCCTACGCGCGCCCTGCCCGCACGCTGCCTGCGCGCTGCCTGCACCGCCCGCGCGCTGCATTTGCTGCCCGCGCGCTGCTCGCCCTGCCCGCGATCTGCCTGCGCGCTGCCTGCACCGCCGGCGCCCTGCCCGCGCACCGCGCGCCCTGCTTGCACACGGCCCGCACGCTGCTGGCGCCGCCCGCACGCTGCCCCTACGGCCCGCGCCGCCCGTGCTCTGCCCGCACATCCCACGCGCTGTCCTGCGCCCTGCACACGCTGCTGCTACTGCTAAGCTGCTGCTGCTGCCCACACTGGGCCGCCCTGCCCTGCTGAGTGCGCATACTGCATACGTGTCTACGCATACTGCCTACGTATCGGCGCATACCGCATACGTGTCTGCACTTACCTCATACGTGTCGGCGCATACGGCATACTTGTCCGCGCTTACCGCACTGCTGCTACTAACGATGGCTACACTCAATGTCCTTGCCTTTGACGCGGAGCGGCGCCCGATTAGGTTTGACTGCTGGCTCAAGGATCTCCAGCTGTACCTACAGAGCCAGGCTAGGGAGGACGTTTCACTGTTAGAACACGTGTCAGGTACCTACCTAGCCCCTGAGGATTCTGTTGCGCGTGCTCTTCGTACTCAGTGGCTCACCCGTGATGCTGCCGCCCGCCTTTCTGTCCGCAATGCCCTCCCGCCTGAGGAACGAGTCCATTTCGGCCAGCTTAAGACGGCGAAGGAACTGTATGACGCTGTAGTTGCTCGTTTCTCCTCCCCCTCGTCTGCTGCCCTAGGCCGTATCATGCTGCCGTACCTCCACCCTGAGCTGTCTGAGTTCCAGACTGTAGTCGACCTCTTCACCCACCTTCGCTCTAGTGACGCTCGCTAACGCGCCGCTCTCAAGCCGGCCTTTCTGACTGCAAACCCGCCCCCGATGTACATCACACTCTACTACCTCGTTACCCGCCTCCCTGGCTCCCTCCGCGCCGTTAAGGACCACTTTCTTGCTCTCGACCCCACCAAGATCACCCTTGCCTTGCTGGAGAAGCATCTCCTCGAGGCCGAGACCAGTTCCGTCGCTGTCGCTGCCTCCCGTGGCACTCCCCGCTCCCCTCCTTTATTCACGTGAGGGCGTTCCTCTCTTTCATCCTGACGGTTCAGTGCAAAACTATATGGCCATCCTGAATTTTCAGGCAAGAAAATCGACATTATCCTGAAGTAACAGGGTAAAAACCAACATGATCCTGAAATTACAGGGCAAACGTAAAAGAACATCCAGAAATCAAGGTAATCAAGATTTTTTACCCTGATATCGTGGGCCCTGCAAGGGTGCGCTTATAATAAGTAACAATTTTATAAGGGGTGCGCTTCTTATTGAGGATCGGCCATAAGCGCATTGCTCCAGATATAAGCGCGTGCGCTATTAATAGGCCTGCGCTTATATCCGGGGCGATACGGTGTTAGGTTAATTTGATCAATGGGATCCAAATGTCGGTGCTGCAAACGACGACAATGTTGTCGGATGTGAAATTGCTCGTAGGGGTCCCAATCGGGGAGGCATTTCTATCCGTAGCATTAGATTGGCGAGCTGCTTGGGGTCAATGGGCTTCTGCAGAATGCCATCAAAGCCACTGGCAAGGCATCGCCGCGTGATGTGAGCATCCACATCTGCTGTGAGAGCCAGTATGGGCACTCGTGTCAGCGTGGTGACTGGAGGCAATGGGTGCGAGGGAGCACCACCCTGCGAGCCTGTTTCTGCACCACCGTCAGTTCCTTCTTCTCGAGATGATGGGGTGTGACCTGCAGCCTTCTCGAGCTCGCGTATCGCCTCTGTTGTCATAAACCTGGGAGGAGTGTGGCACAGGCAGCACGGCAGAGGCCACAGAGACCGAGGGTGTGAAAAGTACTGTGAGGAGGAGAATAAAACAGGAGCTTATGCAAAGAAAGGGAATCTGCATTTTCCATTTTCGTCCCTTATGATTTCTGTCAACCTCTGCTTGAATTCCAACGCCCGGAACGCTGCGTAGGAATCTCAGCAATTCCTCATGAAAGTTTGCCGCCATTCTGTCCGCACATGTCGCACCCCCTCTCTCCCCCAACAATGTACCCATGTCACACCTCTTAGCATGGCCATCCATGCCCACCACTCACCACCACGCACCACCACTCACACATCCATGCCCACCACTTGCATGCCCACCACGCACCCATCCATGCCCACCACTCACCACCGCTGGGCACGACTCACCCGTCCATGGCGGGCATCTGCAGGTCCATGAGCACCACATCCAGCTCAGCGCTGCCATCGCTTGCCGCGCCATCGCTTGCCGCACTCACAGCCGCCGCCACACGCCGCACCGCCTCCTCCCCGCTGCCCGCCGTGCTGACGGTGGCGCCGCAGCGGGTGAGAGTGCGGCGGGCCACCAGCAGGTTCACTGCCGTGTCGTCCACCACCAGCACGCGCCACCCCGCCACCACCCCCCCTGCCGCCCCTGCCCCCCCTCCTGGCGCTCCGGCTGCCGCTTCCAGTGCCCCCGCTGCTCCTGCCCTCCGACTTGCCATGCAGCTAGAAGGCTGAGCTCCTGCCAGGCTTGCACCATGCTCACTCACGCTCCTCACCACCACTGTACGCGCACTCATGTTCTCAAAACCACACCCACGCATCTCACCCCGAACACTGCCACCCTGCCGGGCCTCGCCGCACCCTGCATCAACCCCAGTCTCATCCCTGCTGCTGCCACCCTGCTGCGGCCCATTGCCCTTCTCTTCATTCCAATGTCTGCCTGAGCTTGGCTGCTCTGACCTCTCCTTACCACTCTCCTGTGGCCTGCCCTGCTGTGATTGCCGGGCAGGCTCAGGGCTATCCTGCCATTTGCACCCTGTACTGCCGTGCCATGCATTATTGGAACCCACTCCAAATGCTGCTATCTGCGGTGGGGAAAGAGGGGCGTGGGGTGAGGCGAGGTGAACGATACTGGCAGCGCCAAGGCAAGGAGCACTTGACAGCAGAGGAGCGCTGGCACCTGGCAGCGCTGGCACCTGGCAGCGCTGGCACCTGGCAGCGCTGACACCGATCTAGGAGCGAGGCGATGGGCTTGGTTAGGTGGTAGCTGGTCACAATGAGCCACTGCATGGGTGCACTCTCAAAGCCCAGCAGGCGACAGCCGGCTCACTCGGCACGGCACACACACTCTTACAGGCGCACACACTCTTACAGGCGCACACACTCTTACAGGCGCACACACTCTTACAGGCGCACACACTCTTACAGGCGCACACACTCTTACAGGCGCACACACTCTTACAGGCGCACACACTCTTACAGGCGCACACACTCTTACAGGCGCACACACTCTTACAGGCGCACACACTCTTACAGGCGCACACACTCTTACAGGCGCACACACTCTTACAGGCGCACACACTTCCACAGGCGCCATGGCCAGCATGTCTTACGTGTAGTGCCGTGCAACACACCTGCGCGGCTTGGTGCAGGCTGTTGAGTGGACAGTTGCGGGTGCTGGGAAGACAAGGAGAGTCTTGTCGGAAGCAAGCTCCTCACCTGGACGGCGTGGTGCAGGCGGTGGGAGAGCAGCGGGCGGCAACACACCACCACACGGGGAGCAGCAGTAGCAGAAGTAGCACTGCCAGACGCAGTGCCAGGTAATGACGAGGCTAAAGGGGCGGTGCAGCGGCCGGGGGATGCCTGTCCTGGTCTCCCAATGCTCCCTGCCCCTCCCTCATCATTGCACGCCTCATCCTCCTCCTCTCCTCCTCCTGCAGTTTTTCTCTCCTCCACCTCGTCACCCTCATCTCCCCCGTTCCCCCTATTCTCCCACTCCCCCTCACCCCCTCCCTCTTCCTCGTCCCTTCTGGATCCAGCAGTGTACGCAGCGAGAATGACGATCCCTGCCACCCTATCCCAGCAAGGTTGCCTCTCTGCTGTGGGGCTCACCCCTCTCCCCCTCCCTGCCCATCCATCCCCTCCCCCCACTCCCTCTTCGTTCGTTTCTTCCCCGTCTACCCATCTTCCTCCACCCAGCGCAGCTCTCCCCCCACCCCTGTGTGCTGCCATGCAGCGCCTCACAAGCCCCACTGCTGCTGCCTGCCATGCTGCAGCCTCCCCCGGCGCCAGCGCCACCACACCCGCCCCTCTGCCCCCACCCTCCTGCCCACCCTGCTGCCCGGTCCGCCGACACTGGGAATCCTCCTGCTTCGTGGCAGCCTCACTGTCCCTGACCCAGCGCATGTCTGCTGCTGCTCGGCCGCCCCGCTGCCACCACAGGTCCTCCTCATTCACCACCACCACGCATGGCATCCCCTCCCTACCCTCTTCTCCATCCCTTCTCTCGCCAGCACCACCTCCCTCTCCCCCGTCCTCCCTGATCCCTCCGTCCGTCTGACCACACAAGCCACTCTCTCTGCACGCGCCATCTCTCATCTCCTCCGCCTCCCCCTGTGCCCTCGCTGCATCCTCGCAGCTCCCCTCCGCATTGCTTGACCCCCCCTCAGCAACACGGGCGTCAGCAGCGTGCGGGCAATCCAAAGGGCGGGGCAGCAAGTGCACGTGTGCTCCGAGACCCGCCAGCATGAGCGCCGTGAGCAATGGGAAAAGGCGCAACAGCAGCGGAGTGACAAGGGGCTTGAGGCGCTTCTAGGTGTGCTCGAATGGCATGGGTTGCCGTTAAGTAAAGGGAATTATAGCAAGACGCAGATCACCCTTCAGTCTCGAGGTCTCTAGAGGAGAGAGAAGCGGCAGAGGAGGTGAGCGAGATGATGGGCACTATAGATCCCTCCATTCACTCTCATAGACCGCCCGTCTCTGACACACATGCACATGCGCATGGCAGCACCCGCACACCTCAACTGCAACTCGTACATGCCACCACACCCCCAGTAGCCTCACCTCCCTCGTGCTGCCTTCCGGCCCCACCACGCCCACAGCCACTCCCCCAACGCCCCTCGTGCACCCTGCATGCCCCCCCGCCTCCGCTCTGCACGGCTCATTCTCCCGCCTGCCCTGCATGGCACTGCCCGCCTGCCGAGCATCCAACAGTTGCAGGCAGCTCCACCTCATGAATCTGCTGCCACGCCCGCCCTTACCCCCCAACCACAGGCCACATCTCCATCCCTTCCCTGCCGACCTCACGCCCCGCTCTTCTGTCCCGCCCTCCTCTCTCCCGAATGCCTCAGCAGCAGGAGTAGTGGCAGCAGCAGGAGCAGTAGTGGGGGGAGCAGGGGAAGCAGGGGGTGGGGAGCAGCGGGTTCGGGCTAAGGGCACGGAGAAAGCGACGGTGGAGCCGGTGCCGGGGTGGGAGAGGCAGGCAACGCGACCGCCCATGAGGGCCACCTGGGGGCAGGGGCATGGCAGGCAGGGGGAGGGGGAGTGGGGGTGGCGGGGAGATGGGGGATGGGGGAATGACGGGTCGGGTGGGGGGGACGGCGCAGATGGCGGGCACAGGTTCAGACGGGGGTCAGGTGTTTACCCTTTGGTGCTTTAAGGGAGATATCCAGGTGGATGGCAGGGGGGTTTAGCAAGAATTGGGAGTAGGAATGGAGAACGCGCCAACTGACGGGACGGGATGGGATGGGACTCAGCAAGGGAGGAGCGCAGGGAGAGAGGGCTCACCAGCTGGTGCCCGAGCACAAGCCCCAGGCCTGCTCCTCCACTCTCCGATCGCCCCTGCAGGGTACCACGAACAGCCGGATAAGGGGATGAATCAAGAGACCCCTGTATATATATTCACACAAATAAAGAAGAGGGAGCAGGATCTGTGCAAGACAAAACCGAATACACCACTTCTCCACGAAGACGCACGCTGGCCTGTGATGATCTGATCCTCAAAATCGCCCCAACGTCACAGTGTGTCGTCTCACACGCTCTCACCTTGAACTCTGAGAGCTCCTCCCCCGTGGAGTTAAACCCACAGCCCGTGTCGGCACACGACAGCACCAGCTGCATCTCCTCTCCACCGCTGCTCCACCTGGCATCGTCCCCTTCACCGTCTCCTTCACCCTCGCCACTCGCCTCCCCCTCTTGCTCCTCCTCTCCCAGCATGGCAAGTTGTGAGGAATCCTCATCACCATCATCACCCTCATCTGGCGGCTCCTGCTCCCCCCAGCACGTCGCAGTGGCTGCACTGAAGAGCCGACCCAGCTGCAAGTGGAGGTAGGCCAACCAGGAGACGAACCAGGGGCGGCGAGGCGGAGGAGGAGGGGGAGAGGGGTGGGGCGGGGCGTCTGATATGCGGGTGCAGGAGGGGGGCCAAGGCGGACAGCAGGGACGAGTTGTTAGGATTGGAAAGAGGAGGAGGGGAGGAAGGAGGGGAGGGTGAGAATGTAAGAATCTGGTATCAGCAGAAGGAAATCAATCGACACGCCACTTGGCCAGACTGTGTTATCAAGGCGAAAGCAGCAACGACCAGCAAACATGCATCAATGGAGAGAAAGGTAGAAACACGGTAATGGTTAGTGGAGTGGGAGGGGTGAGTGAAATGAGTGGAGTGAGTGGAGTGGGGGGAGTGAATGGTGTGGGGGGGACGGGGGGGGAATGGAGGAAAGGGAGGGCAGGGCGGCACTGACAGAGGTGGTGGTGGAGAAAGTCCTCAAGCGAGGTAGCAGCAGGGCACACGGACGCTCGCACCAGCACATGCCCACGGGCTGTGTAGCACATGGCGTTGTCTGCCCGTGGTGGGAGGTTTGAGAAGATTGGGGGCAGCTTGCTATGCAACAGTGCATTGTGAGAGTCGGACATTACGCACTGATCTAGTACATGAAAGCATTTGTAGTCAATGTTGTTGCAACTTCATGGTTTGCATTTGGCTTGTTGTCCTTGTGCGTGCATGCGTGTTTGCATGGAATGGTATGAGAGCATGAGATCACAAATATTTCATTATTATATGTGTGTGAATGATGAGTCATGAGGTCGAACGTGCGTGTCGACTCCATAGCGAATTTTTGCTAGTCGCGTGTCACGTCGCTGTTTGTGTGACGTGTGCGTTTTCTATTTTGTCGTGTGTCAAACGTTCGGCGTGTCGTAGGTGAGTGCAAAAAACCTTGAAGAACTAAAAAAAGAACCAAGAGCATTGGTTTCAAAATCCAAGTCATTTCGGAGCTTGCCAGAAGTGTCAACTTACAAATAGTTACATTGCATTGCGAAGTGTAACATCTCTCTTGGTATAGGCCGTTGTGGTAAATGGTTTCAACACCCTTTGAAGTTTGAGACTGTTTGACACTGTTCCACCTCCATAATTTTTGGCTTTTGAGGTTTGTAGAGGTTCTTCTTATTTCGTATCGTAAGACCATAGATGCTGCTAGACCGCCGTTCGCTCAAACTACTACCACGTCGTCGGTTCTTTATCGAATCGAGTGACTCGACTTGTTGATTGTAGACATCTTTAAGACGCTCCAGATGCAATTTACAGTACATCATTTCATGCAGAAACCAGTCTGCTCACAAATTTTGAAGCTGCTCTGCAAAAATCCGACTGTGCCCTCTATCTTTCGTTTTATGCACATTGAAGTCTATTGTGATTATAACAGTCAAGGGGAAGATTGCGCAAGAAAGAGGAAGGGGAAAAGTGGAGGTTCGGGGTTGGTTTGCGGTGCTAAACTGACCCATGAGTTCGTTGAGGTGGGAAAAGGGCAAGGCCTGACCTATAACTTCGTTGAGGTGGGAAATGGGGAAAGACTGACCTATGAGCTCTTTGAGCGCCTGAGCGAGTCGCATGGTGTCCATGTGAAGCACTGCAGGCACTCCCGTGTCCACCATGCCTGCCACTGCCAGTCACACCATCACACCACCATCACAGCAGCACCATAACACAACAGACACACCAAAGTCACATCATCACAGCACGGTCACATCATCGTCACACCACAGTCAACAACATAAGAGGAGAGCGATACGGTGAGTCGGATCCACTGCCACATGGTCCATACCAGAGTGACACCACAAGCACGAAGGAGTGGAGTGCCCAAAAGCACGAGTATGAGACGAGAAGGTGCGACCACGGAAAAGTTGCCTCTTGCACCCTACCCTGATCCAAGACGAGCAGCCATGTCTTTTGCTCTCCATGCGCACTCAAACAAACCCAATCCCCATCTTCGCCCAGCTCCCGCTCCCCCTTCCCCCTCGCACGCGCACTGACCCTCGATGCCCTTGTGGCTTGCCCGCGCACAATAGCCCAGCACGACCTCCTCGAGCCACGCGCGCGGCTCAAAGGGCGAGCAGCAGAGCGCCATGCGGCGCGCCTCGAGCTTGGAGAGGTCGAGCACGCGGTTGACGAGGCGCACCGTGTCGTACGCTGCAGTGCGTGCCGACCGCACGTCCTGCAGCTGGGCGGCAGAGAGGCGGCGGTCCTCGAGAGAGCAGCCCCACGATGCCGAGCATGGGCGTGCGCAGCTCGTGCGACATGGACGCCACAAACGAGCTCTTCGAGCGCTCCGCTGCCCTCGCCTTCGCTCTCAACTGGTCCGCCGCTGCCATGCTCTCCTCGCTGCGCACGTACCCCACCCGCTGCTGCCACGCCACAGCTGCTATCAGTGCCGTCACCACGAGAGCAAGTGCCGCCCACAGGAACGGCACACACCAGGAGAGCCATGCGCTTGGCGCCTCGACGTAGCTGGGGGGCGGCACGCATATTGAGAAATATGCTCACAAAACGGTTGTATGGATGGAGGAAGGGGAAAACGGCCTAGCTGGAGCAGCAAGCTGGGTGTGGGTTTAGGGCAAGTCAAACACCTGGGAAAAGGCTAGTGGCTGCTCTTTACTAGGGACGCCACACAGCACACTCACCGGCACCACACTTGGTAGCGCCGCAGGCGGCCCCCAAGCAGGTCGAGCGGCACCACAGAGCGCTCCTCCCAGGGGCGCGTGACATTGGGGGGCGAGATGTCGGTGATGGGAAGCATGTCATGCTCGCGGTAGTACACGAGGCGTGGGCCCGGGCCGTAGATCATTGTGAGGCCTTGAGGGTCCGTGGTATCATACACCTCGAATGTGATGCTGGGGTCTGGGGGATGGCAGGGAGGGACATGCGAGGGACGTGCAGGGGGTATGGCAGGGCAAGTCGGGGGGGCATGGAGGGGGCATGGAGGGGGCATGCGGGGGGGACGCGGGGAGTAAGCAGGGGGGTTTGCGGATTAGAAAAAAAGACGGAAAAAAAAGGAGGGAAAATGTCTTATAGAGAGGCGGGAAGAAAGTGAAAGCGGAAAGGAAGGTCAAAAGAGACTGTGGAAAGGTACAGAGGGGAAACCAAACCAGCTTCTTCGGGGGAGGTTGTCAGCATGTAGGTGTTTCAAGGCGCAGTGGTGGGGTGCAGCAGAAAGGGAGGTGAACACGTTCTGCAGCACAGCACCTGGCTTGATTGCAGAACAGCACCTGGCTTGATTGCAGCACAGCACCTGGTGCGAACACGTTTTGCAGCACATTGCGGGCGATCATCACGACGTCCACATTCGCCCCAGCTGCTCCCAGCACCGCCTCCTCCGCCTGCTGCTCCGTGGGATTCGGTGGCAGCGCATGCTGCAAGATGGGGAACCCGATGGCTGCTCACAGGGAACGAAACCGCGCATGCGGGCCAGGGATAAAATTCAGAGAGACTAAATGGAAGGGAGCAAGGAGAAGATTGTACTACCATGAAATGGGACGGGCTGGCAAGGGTAGGGGGAACTGACTGAAGCCGGTGAGGTTGAGGGACACGTTTCCGACGGGCATGACACGGGTGAAGATGTTGTCTCCCGTCCTGCGCAGGAAGGCGAGCTCGTCACCGCCGCGCTGCATGAGGTCCACTAGCAGATGGGGTTTCCAATACGAGTGCACCTCTAGCAGCCTGGGGCAGTACAGAGGCTGCTGCTGCCGCGGCGACATGCTGAAGTCGAGAATGGGGCCGCCGTAGAACCGCTCAAAGGCAGGCCTGCGCACGGCACAGCAAGCACGTGTAAGGAGACTGGGAGCTTTGGCGGGTTTGAACTGGGGGCATGGATGACCGAGTCTACTGACCTCTCTGCATCTGTAACGAAGAGGCAGACCATGGCGCCCGTGTTGCCGGGTCGGGAGTAGCTGGTGTTGTTAAGATAGGCGGCCCAGCGCTGCTCCGTGAGACACCTGTCCCACGTCCAGTTGCCATGGCCCCTTGGCTTGCCCATCACCGACACCAGCCCCGCCAGAGTCTGCCAAAGGTGGCCATTTGGGTGTGGAGGAGAGGCACGTGCAGGAGGGGTGGATGGATACATAACAAGAGGACTCAGGTGGCTGCAACGCACACGGGCAGGCTGACAACGCACGTCACTGCCGCAAAGTGATGTCAGATTGATGAGTGTACTGCTATGATCCGCACACTGCCAAATGCACACTCCGTTGTGCACCTTTACTGTGCCTCATCGACTATCAACTCCCCCAACCCCCTCTGCCTCCCTTCTCCCCCACACCCCCCCCCCCTCCTCCTCTTCCCTCAAAAACGGAGCAGCGGTGCACTTTCAATTGGGATGGAGGGGGGAACATTGGGGGTGGACGTAGAGGTGGGTAAGGTAAGCAATGGGTTCAGCATGCATCGTACCGTGATGCGGCTGCAGTGCAAGGGAGTTGGATAACGATGCGCAGCGCATGTGAGTGCGCTGCATGTGGCAGAGGGTGCGAGGGCGAGATTCGAGATGGTGTACCATGCTGCTGCTACTTAAGGGACTGCGGGTGAAGTACGCCCATCACCAGAAGGCTCCCAATCTTTTGAAACCCTCTGCCAACGACGCCCCGGGCCCTTGCTGGGATGAGAGTCATCCTGGGGATGCAGGTGTTCTATCCCCTGTATGGTATGCGGAGCGTTGAAAGCGCTCACCCGTATCTGGCTGACGGTGGTGAGCGTGTGTTGCTCGAAGAGCTTGGCGCGCTCGTAGCACCACGTGTCGAGGCGGCGGTAGCGATCGCCGAGGTACGTCGCGTGCGTCGAGTAGCAGAGCCACGCCGCGAAGGCCACGCCCGAGAGCAGCCATAGCGCGAGAAGGACGGCGAAGACAGGGCCTGGATTCGATAAGGAGTGGCGCAGACAGACGTCGCATTTTCACGATAATTCTACCCAAAAGCATCACTTGCGAAGCATGGATTCGATGTGACAGAACACAACATTGTTTTGGGCAATCATCATCATCGTGAGAGCCTAATGACAGGCAAATGGAATATAAAGCCTCGCTACCCAGCGGAGCGGAGCGGGTCAAAACGAGGGTTATCTTTGAGGCGCAGCGGAGGCACTCAACCCTCACGTGTAAGCCCCACAGGCGTTATTACGGACCGACCCCGCGCCCGCAGCGACGGCGTTCGTAGAAGAATCTCGACACCAGCCGCGGTGTCAGCGTAACTATTAAGACAAACGGAGCTCGGCACGACGTTCAAGCTTCCGAAGCACGAATGTACCTCACGCTACCGCCGCCCGACGGCTATTGACTCACCTCGAAACACTATATTCTGGATCGCGCGTTTGCCGCAGCAGGACAGCGACGAGTCCTTGCTGTGCGAGCGGTGTAATCGGTTGCGGAGCGCGTGAAAATAAGACATGTTCTAGAACATGCCGGGATAGTCTCTAAGAAAAAATTCAGCTGGCGTATTTCGTCACTACGACACTAGCAAGAAAATGCTTCTTTGGTTGAACAAGGACAATGTGTGCACCAGGGCGGGCGTGGAACATTCTGACACCTCACGTCACAGTCCCCATTCATCCTGACTATTTTAGTATCGTGAGAGCTCGCATCCTATTTCGCGAGTGTTTTGGCTACAGTACCTCGCGAAACTGCGGAAGTTGACTGTGGGCACAGCCTGTGTGGACGATTCCACCATTCCCTTCCGCGCACTGTTGAAGCGCGACAATTTTTGCCGGGCCATCATCCCCACCATACAGTATATTGGGAAGGGAAATTATATAGCCAGTCACAAACACTGGTTCGTTATCACGAATGACCACCGACTATCGCGAACGGTCACATAATCTTGGAATCTATCACGGATGGTCACAAAATCTGGAATTCTATTACGGATAGTCACAATGTTGCCCCACAACTCTATCACATATGGTCACATATTGAAACGCTCAATAGAAAGCTGAAATTTTCACGAGTAACTGTAGAGATTCCGGGGAATTTATCTCGCGCACAAAAAAATAGGTTACCTCCAAAATAAGTCCGCGACCACTTTCGCAAACTCATTCAAAGCATAAACAGATGTCTTATTCCCATATATTGTTTACATCCACAACGAGCCACGAATCAAAGCGTTTTAAACCGAGAAAAACATTGATATAACTGGCTAACAACATCATAATCAATAACTTTATGTTGCATAATTATAACCGTCCGCAAAAATATATAATATATAAATATTCGTACCTGTGGACTTTCGGTATCAACCCTAAACACATTGTCGTATGATGTTTAGGGTTGATGCCCTCTCTAATGGCATGCCATCCGAGCAGGTTTTAGTTATTTTTTTTTTTAAGCATGCAAACCCTTGTAACCTTCGCCTCCGTGACTCGCTACGGAAATAACCAAACTACGCATACATGACAAAAACAGTCGCCAGTAAAATGTCCATAAATCTCAACAGTGTTAATGTGAAAACAGAACGAGAAATGATTGCATTGAGCAGAATGAGGAGTACAAGTAGGAAACCCTAAAGTGTTGTATCCCATATGAACTACCCCACTACAGCCTACACAGACTATAGCATGTAAGTTTGACACACCCCCATAGGCAAAGTGGGGGAGAACAAGAGGTCACAAGACCAGTCAAGAAAAGCAAAGGAAGCTCAGGGTGGATCACGACGTCACCACGCATTCGGAACACAAGCAAATGGCCACAAGGCCAGTTCACATACAGAGTTATATACAGTGATCACAACCTAGCAAGTGTAAGCATGCAGATATATGTATAAAGATCACAGTACAAGCAAAGTCGAGAAGTAAGCAAGTGAGGCCCAGTGGGCACAAGGCCTAGAACAGTACAGAAACGCTGATGATCACAAGGCTGAAGTGCCTTGGTGAAGACATCAGCAGTGTTGGCCCGAGTGGCCACGTAAGTAAGACGAAGCTGACCACGCTGCTGCAACTCTCGAGCAAGGAAGTAGCGCAGAGCAATGTGCTTCGTTCTGTACTCGAGTCTGTGCTCCTGACACAAGGCAATCATGGCCTCGTTGTCGACGCACGGCACTGGAGGAGAACGAGGCGGCTCTCCCAGGTCGGTCAGCAGGTAGGTGAGCCAGCGTAACTCCTGTGCAGCCATGGCCCCTGCGTAGATCTCAGCCTCACAGCAGGAGCTGAGAACAGAAGACGAGCGGGTAGACCGCCACGAAACAGAGCCGGAGCCAAGGCTGAAAGTGTAACCCTGTGACGACCGCTACGTAGCCAAGTCGTCAGCCCAGGAAGCGTCTGCGTGACCAGTGAGGACAACTCGAGTCCGTCCTCCAAGCACGAGCCCCATGCCCGACGTACTGCATAAGTAGCGCAACACCCTCTTAGCAGCATCCATGTGCTCCTTCTGTCAGAATGTTATTATCTAGCCTGTAGTGGGGTGCTCTATAGCGAGTACAACCCAGTTAGGGTTTGCTATATGTATCCCAACTACTGCTAGTGAAACCCCTCTCCTTTCTTCATTTCTCTTTCTGCCTGCTAGTTTTGACATGGTTTCAGAGCAGGTCGACCCCCTTGGGTCGATCCTATGGGTGGGCCCACCACCTAATGCTTCCGCTGCTCTTCTGCTGTCGCGCGCCACGGGCGCGCTACCCTTTCTTACTGCCGCGGTTTCCGGGGGGCGCGCGGCCCTTTTTCTTCCTGGCGAGGCGCGCGCGCCCCCCCGTCCGTCCGTTGTGCCGCCCTGGCGAGGCGCGCGCGCTCCCCGCCCGTCCGTCGTGGCGCCTTGAGGGCAGCGCGCTCAGCCCCCGCCCGTCCGTCGTCGCGCCCTCAGGGGCAACGCGCGGCCCCCGCCCGTCCGTCGTGGCGCCTTGGGGGGCAGCGCGCGCTCCCCGCCCGTCCCGTCGCGGCGCCCTGGCATGGCGCGCGCGGCCCCTGCTGCTTCGCCGCGGCGCCCTGGCCAGGCGCGCGCGGCCCCTGCTGTTTCGTCGCGGCGCCCTGGCCAGGCGCGCGCGGCTCCTGCAGGACCGTCACGGCGCCCTGGCAAGGCGTGCGCGGCCCCTGCTGGTCCGTTGCGGCGCCCTGGCTAGGCGCTCGCGGCCCCTTCCTGTCCCGTCCCCCCTCCGTGCTGCCCATTACTCTCGTGCCGCCGTGCGTTCTGCGGTGGTGGGGGGTGTGGGGTGGCGAGCATGGGGGTGCGCGGTGTGGGTGCTCCCCTTCCCTTTCCCCTCCTCCTTGTTCGTCTCCCACTGCTGCAGCAGCTGCTGAGGGGGGTGGAGGTGTGGGAGCCGCGGGGAGTGGAGCTAGGGGGGTGACGTGGAAGTGGAGTTAGGGGTGAAGCAGGGGGTGTGTGTCAGGGGGGTGGGACTGTGTGGGGAGGCTGAGAGGAGGCTGCCGTCGAGTCGCCAGCAGCGCCAGTAGTCCGGAGCCCTTGCTCTCGGTAGCCCAGCGAGCCTGCTGCGCCAGTCGCCCGTGGGTCCGTTGCTCCTGCCGCTCGTCGTAGCCGCGGAGTCTGTTACTCCAGTAGTCCGGGGCCCTTGCTCCGGTAGCCACTGTGCCAGCCGCTTCTGTTGCCCGTGTGTCTGCAGCTTCAGTCGTCGCCTCCCGTCTTCTCTCCCCCACAGTCTCTCCTCCTCCTCACTTGCCCTCTGTGTTAGCCTCTAACTTTGCTTATAATTGTGAACTACTGCTATGCCTGCTCATTGTGCTGATTACACCCCACTTTGGCTATGGGGGTGTGTCAGAATGTTATTATCTAGCCTGTAGTGGGGTGCTCTATAGCGAGTACAACCCAGTTAGGGTTTGCTATATGTATCCCAACTACTGCTAGTGAAACCCCTCTCCTTTCTTCATTTCTCTTTCTGCCTGCTAGTTTTGACACCTTCCGGTGTCTCCCAGGAGCGACATAGCGTGCAAGAATGCTGAGAGGGTAGGCAAGGTCAGGTCGAGTGCACGTCATCAGGTACATGAGGCAGCCCACAAGCTCTGGGTACGGACCACTCGGCTCTACGGACTCGTCCGAAGGTGGAGCTGAGAGCGAGTGGCGAGTAGGCAGAGGAGTGGGCTGTGGCGAGGAGTACGTGAAGCCGAAGCGCTGAATGACCTGCTGCACCATGTGTGACTGAATCAAGGTAATGGTGCGTTGTGCTCTGTCCCGGGTGATCCGCAAGCCAAGATAGCTGCGCAGCTCACCCAGGTCTGTGCACGTGTGTCTCTTCTGCAGCTCCGACTTCACGTGGGCGAGTCCCTCAGTGTCAGAAGTAGCAAAGACCAAGTCGTCGACGTACACGAGGACGTAGAACGGCGGCAGAGAGGTGTCGGTGCGTAGAAACAGCGACGGGTCAGCAGTGGAAGGAGCAAACCCAAGAGCCGCAAGGGTCGTCCTCAGTGTGTCGTGCCACTCACGGGGCGCCTGGCGGAGACCGTAGACTGGCCGCCGGAGGCTCCACTGGGTACCAGCAGGAAACGACCCAGTGAAGCCAGGTGGGCGGCGCAGCCAGATCTCCTCGTGCAGGCTGCCCTGTAGGAAGGCTGTGCTAAAGTCAAGAGAGTGAAGCTCGTAGTCACGCTGAGCGGTGACGTGCAGCAGAACCCGAAGAGTGGTCATTTTCGGGGTGGGGGAGAAGGTCTGGAAGAAGTCAACTCCCTCTCGCTGACTGAAGCCTCGTGCAACGTAACGCACCTTGAAGACAAGCGGAGAACCTGGCGGCCGCTTCACCCTGAAAATCCACATGCCACTGACGATGTTCGCCCCAGGAGGGGGAACCTCGTCGACGTAGGTGCCTGTGGACTTCCAGGAAGCCATCTTTGAGTCCGTGGCTGTCTGCCACTGAGAGGAGTAGGGACCCTCTATCGCCTCTGCGTAAGAGCGCGGGGTCGGGATGTCTGGTGCATCCGGGTCTCCCTAAGGTGCAAGCAGCATGGACACGAGATGAGGTAAAGCAGCGGCAAAGCACTCAAACTCCTCCTGTCTGTCCTCAAGGACGTCCGTGCCAAGAGCACACTCACCCCCGACAGACGGAGGACAGACAGACTCAGACTCAGCAACAAGTCTAGGGGCGTAGTCTAGATGACAGGCGGCAGCAAAGTCAACAAGCTCAGCAACTAGGGCAGACGCAGCAGCGGACTCAAACGACGGGTCAGTGACAACAGTGGCCAGGAGACGCGTGACAGTAGGACTAGCAGCACGAAGGGAGTCAGACTCCGGGTCCGGACCGTCAGCAAGAGAGGACGCAGGAGGAGACGGCAGAGGGACACGCAGTGGAGCAGTGGAAGGACGAAGTGCCATCTGGTGCGTGCCTGGGACAGCAGGAGGACGCAGACGCAGGACACGACTACCAGTGCGAACAGCGCGAACAGGCGACGCAGGACGAGACTCAGGCAACGCAGGACGAGACTCAGGCTCACGACGCTCTGTAAGACCTCTAGTCGGCCCATA